GTATATATCTATATATATTTAGAAATATATTATCACCTTAAAAAGCCAAGTTCGAAAACTACGGGTTTATATGCCGGGGCCCCCATAACCCCCCCCCCCCAACCCCTACAAGGTTCTTCATCTATTTTTACGATTGTTTAAGTTTAAGACAATTAATGGACGTCAATATTTATAAGAGTCGATGGACTGTCTATTTTATTTTTTTGGCATTCAAGCTGCCGTAAGAGGTATTGAAACAATTTGTTTATTTTTGTCTTGAATTATTTCTTTTTCAATGCGGCGTTCCGGATCTCTTCTTGTAATTAAATTTATAACTTTTTTATTGTTTGTTTTTGTTTTATTTCTTATTATTGTTTTCTCTTCTGCCATAACACATGAAGTTCTTTTCATAACATATCACCTTTTTTTCTTTACAGATATATTTTTACCATAGTTAGCTACCTGATAGGAGTCTTCATCTTCGCTACTATAGTCGGTGAGTATATAAGGAACTTGACAATTATTATGAATGACTGTAAGAAGTAAAGAAAACGAAGGTTCAATTTGCAGCTACAACTATTTTAGTATGATTCGCTGTGCATCGCGGTGTTTGCATGGTCGTCATTTAGTGTAAAAAAAAAACTATCGGTGTCACCCAGCTTATGCAGATTTTTTTTCTGCATTTCTTCATATTTTTCTGTTATTTTATCATTTTTATTTCCTTCTTTCTGTTTCGAAAGTAAGATAGAAAAGTATGGTTTTCCTCCGTAGAAATTGATGTTTTTAAGTTGGCGAGTTGAGGAAATAAAGTTTATTCAGTACTTTTATGAGGGTTTTTGGTATATCCGGTAACTTTTAACAACTTGAAAAAGTACTTGCTTGTTGGGTTAAAATCCACTGCACTTTAGATGTGTGTGTGTGTGTGTGTGTGTGTGTGTGTGTGTGTGTGTGTGTGTGTGTGTGTGTGTGTGTGTGTGTGTGTGTGTGTGTGTGTGTGTGTGTGTGTGTGTGTGTTCACCATAGAAATCTGCCTTGTCTCAACCATGATAATGGATAATATTTTTCGCCATTTACTACATATATCCAGACATTAATATTTCACGATCGTTATGAGACTATCATAATCATTATTATCAAGATTACACAACACTAATCATAAGAAATTTACGATCATTAGTACAATTCTAAAGTTTCAAAAAGATGATTCTTTACCTAATAATTCCCTCTGTAAATCGTGTTTCTTACCCTCTCTATTTTCCGAAATTCTGCAGTCCAAAAAATAACAATGATAATAATAACAATGATAGTAATGATAATAATAATAATAATAATAATAATAATAATGATAATAATAATAATAATAATAATAATAATAATAACAATAATAACAATAATAATAATAATAACGATAACAATAATAATAATAATAATAATAATAATAATAATAGCAATAATTATAATAATAATAACAACAATAATAATAATAATAATAATAATAATATTAATAATAATAATAATAGTAATAACAATAATAGTAGTAGTATTAATAACAATAGTAATAATAACAATGATAATTATAATAACTATAATAATAATGATGATGACAAAGAGAAGGAAGAGACTGAAGAATAATTACGAATGAAGAATGAAGAATAATTACGCCTTTCTTCGATTCCATATTTTCCAAGATTCTTAAACATACAAAGAAAAAAACTTTTTTATAACGAGATTCAAGAAATATTCATCATCGCAATTACATAATAGTAAGAGTATAAAAGAACATAGATCGTTCCACTGAGCAACATGTATGAATGTTACCTTTCGACATAAAAGAAACGATATTAAGAAATAAATCACGGAAATAAATAAAAGTTATAGAGTCTATAAAACCGATGACTTTGAAGGTTTACGATCAACTGACGGGGTATTGTGTTTTTTCACGATTTATTCTCTCTCTCTCATTTTTCGTGTAGTATTAAAGCTTCAAAGTTATTTTATATGTTCCTAAAGTTAAGTTTAAAGATTAAAGGAACCCGATGGATTAGTTTAAATCAATATAAAAAGGTTCTGAATCTTTCTTTCTCTATCTCTATGTATCTCTATCTCTTTTTATCTATTTATTTATTAGTCTGTCTATAAATCTATCTTTGAGTCTATCTTTATCTATCTCAGTCATTAACTCTATCTTCCCCTCTCTCCTTCTCTCCCCCCTCTCTTTGTTTTGTTTTTTTCTTTATTATTATGAGTGTTATCATCATTACTATCATTATTATTATTATTATTATTATTATTATTATTATTATTATCATTATTATTATTATTATTATCATCATCATCATCATTATCATCATAATCATCATTATCATTATCATCATCATCATCATTATTATTGCTATTATTATTGTTGTTGTTGTTATTATGATTGTCATCAACAACAATATCATCATCGTCATTTTTTAAATACTTATCATTATTATTATTATCGTCATAATTATAATTATCATTAATCATCATTCTCACTATTGTTGTCATCATTATTGCCATCATTATCATCATTAAGACCAGTATCACTACTACAATTATTCTATCTCCTTTATCAGCGTTATAATCATTATCATCGTTATTATCACTGCTCTCGTCCTGTTATCGTTGCTTTTGTTTAGCTGTATTTTCTTCAGATTCATTTTCATTTTCAACATGCATCTCATATTAACATCATCATCATTATCAACATATTACTGTTGCTGTTATTCTGATTTTCTTATTTATTAATTCTCTGTAAAGGAATCTGATCCTGAATTATGCATTTCAAGAGAACGCACCTGATCCTCTTTTGTTTCTCGTCTTGCAGGTCAAGTAGGCAACGTTATAACGAATCGCAATGCAAACAGATTGGAGTTCGAGAGATTATTGGTAAGTTCTTTGCCATTCATTAATATTCTTTTTTGTGTGTGGTTATTTCTCTCTCTCTCTCTCTCTTTCTCTCTTTTCGATGGTCTCTCTCTTTCTCTCGTTTCGTTAGTCTGTCTCTCTCTCTCTCTCTCTCTCTCTCTCTCTCTCTCTCTCTCTCTCTCTCTCTCTCTCTCTCTCTCTCTCTCTCTCTCTCTTTCTCTCTCTCTCTCTCCCTCTCTTTCTCTCTCTTTCTCTCTCTTTCTCTCTCTCTCTCTCTCTCTTTCTCTCTCACTCTTTTATCATTATTATTATTGTTATTAGTAGTAGTAGTATCATTATTATTATTATTGCCATTGTCATTATTAATTTCATCATTATTATCATTATCATTATTACTACTATGCTTAATTTCATCATTACCATGATTATTACCATTACTGTTATCATTATCCTTACCATCATCAATAACATCAATATTCCTTAAAGCACTGTCATTATTATCATCATTAACGCCGCTGTTACGATTATTTCTATCATCACTATCACTATCATCACCATTATCACTATCACTACCATTATGATTATTTCTTAAGGTAGTACCATTAATACCATCACCATCAGTACCATCACTATCACCACCCCCATCACCATCACCCCCATCACCACCCCCATCCCCATCACCCCCCCACCCCCCCTCCCACCACCACCTCAATTTTGAATCACTAACCCCCTCTCCTCTCCCCCCCCCCCCCCCCGCGCCTGGCACCTTCAACAGGACGGAGCCAAGCTGTATATGCGGCATCACAAGGTTCCAAGAGCGATGCAAAGACGTGTACAACGATGGTATGATTATTCGTGGTCTCGGTAAGTATATTTCTTTTTCTCTTTCGTGTGTGAAGAATGGGGGGAAAAGGGATGAAAGGAGAGGGTAAGGAAAGAAAGAATGGGGGGGGAGGAGTGATAAGGAGGAATGAGGGGAAGGAATGAAAGAGGGGAAAGGGGAGGGGTGATAGGGAAGAAAGAGGGAAAGGAATGAAAGAGAAAAAGAGGAAGGATACAAAGAGGGGAATGGATAAGGAGTGAAATAGGAAAGGGGAAAGCAAAGAAAAAAGAGGAAAGTAAGAATTGAATGTGAAAATAAGAGTAGAAATGAAGAAAGGAAGTAATAGAAAATGAAAAACAAATATGATGATAAAAAAAAACGTAAATGGAACATGGAATGGAGATGGATACTGATAGAAATGAAGCGAGTGAAAGAAAGAAGACATGAATAGGAGTGGAAGAAGATTAAAGCAGGCTAAAATCAGAGAATAAGAGAAAGATAGAAAAGAGTAAATGGAAAATAACAATACAAGATGAGATTGGGAAGATTGAAAGAAAAAAATATTAGAGTGAAAAAAAGAAAGTGAAAGAAAGAAAACAAAAAAGTGAAATGAAAACAAAAATATAGAATAAAATAACAACTGAAAGAAAAAGAAAATAAATTACAAGTGTTCGTAATGGAGAGTATTTTTTTTCCAATAAACGTGTTTCCGTTTCTAATCTCGTTTTAGATTATTGTAAATGGGAAACCTTTTCGAGACGTAATTATTTGTTCCCATCTTTCTTATCTCTTCCTTCATCATTTTTAGGGGGACTTCAGGACAACGAAGAATCATATGATTAAGAAATTTAATCGTTTACGAAATAAAAAAAAGATTAAAAAATAAAAATAATAAAAGAGATATAATGGTAATATTACTGCTGATGATAATAATAATAAAAGTAGTAATAATAATAAAAAATAACTTAATGATATAGATTAGTGGTTATGACAATGATAATGTTAATGATATTATCATCACTGGGGAGCTAACGCCGGCGGGGGCGCACAGCTGCATCCACCTTTCGTTTCCACCTACGAGGGTCCCTCATAGCGAGCCAACAGGCAGGGGTCCGACCCATCTCTAGCTCCCCACGACAGGTTTGATCGATCTGCCCAAGCCACGACTTCCTCGATCGTCCCACAGGCCTCCTCCACCCAGGACTGTCTCGAACAGAGACAACCTGGTGGGCAGGATCGTCCTGTGGGAAACGAGAAAGGTGGCCGTATAGCCTGAGTTGGCGATCGCGGATTGTGCAAGTAACAGGTCCCGTATCAGTGTCACGGTGCAACCGTTGGTTGAACACATGGTCCCGCCAACTGTACCATAGGATTCAGCAGAAGGACCTGTTACAAAGGGCATCAAGGCGTGATTCCAAAGCACAAGATGGCGTCTCTAATACATTTCAGGAGGGTGAGATCGAGAATCTTGCCCGGTATACGTAGCCCCATTGATCCCCTTTTCCCTTCGTGAGAGGAATGACCACACCCCTCAGCAGGACAGGGAGAATGGAACTAGTCTGCCAGATGGCAGTATGCAAGCCCCTTGCAATTCTCCACCAGCCTTTAATAGTTAAACTAGGATGCCGCAGATACCCGCTGATCTACCATTCTTCAGCTTGGAGATCGCCCCCCCTGACTTCAGTCAGGGGGGGTGGATCCTCGCTGATAGATTGGTCGGACAAAGGAATCTCGACACTATCCATGTCCAACTTAACTGTTGGTGGATCAACATGGTACAACCTCTCAAAATACTCAGCCCAACGCACCTGCACCCCAGCAGGATCTGAGATTATCTAACCCCTGGCTGAGCGGACACCAGTCGTCTGCGGACTTTCTCAGGGCTTGGTAGGCAGGACGAAGGTCGTTTACTAGGAAATGGCTTTCGACCTCCTCTGCAAGATTCTTAATAAACTGTTCCTTGTCCCTTCTCAGCAGTGACCTAGTCCTGCGCACCAGGGAACGATGCAAGTCGCGATCCCCTTACAGTCGAGCCGTGCGACAAGTACCTGTGGTTTCCAGTGTCTCCTGCGAGATGAAATATTGTCCTGCTCTGGGGCTTTCAACTATCGATTTTTGGGCTGTATCGAGCGTTTCACGCTTGAAGGTTAATGATAATAATAATGATATTATCAAATATAATTACAATAACAACAATAGTAATGTTAACAGTGACAATAATAATAAAAACTATATATAAAAATGTATAGATAAAAAATAAGGTGAAAAAGTGTACCAAAAATCAGTGATAAAGACACGAGGAAGAAAGGACTGGATGCCCCCTTTAAGACAATATGAAATACATTGCGTCCAAGATATCACGCACTTGGAAAACAAAGCACTTTTCGGGTGCCAGAGGACAGGGGTGGGGGGAGGCATTGCCTGCCCCTCTTTCAAGTGCTTGGAGGATCGGAATGGAGTTTTAAACGCAATTCGGCCTTCTCTCGTGACCCCTCCAAGCGCTAAAATTGCTTGCGTGCTTGTCTGTGTTTTTGTCTTTTTTTCTATTTGATATTTCCTGGTTGTGTTATGAAAGGTTTATACTCCGTTTCACCATTATGGCTTTTTTACATTTTTTTTTTATCATTTGCTTGTTTATTTATTTGTTTGTTCATGTATTTACAGAACCGGATTGCCTTTTTCCTTAGACATCATATATTTTTCTTCTTCATTTGCTCTAAGAAATAAGTGACAACAAAGTCTTTTGTGTGTGATTTCATTTAAACAAAGAAATAAGACGAAAGTTTTACATTGTTCCGTTAAAACATCACCAAATACAACAACAAAAAAAGCTCAACTTAATTTTCCGCTCAAACTTGAACACAAAAAGTAACAGCAAAGTATTTTCGTCATTTCCCCTCTACGGAACCACGAACGCCCGCTCACAACACGTCCGATTCCTTGGCTCAACACAACTCGTCCAAAACCGCGGAGATTGTCTCAAATCCCGTTAAATGTGCAAAGTTTGGGGTACGCGGAAGACGCTGAGACAAAGGAGGCTTATCTTTCTTATCTGACCGAGTCCTTAGATAAAGGAGCCCTTCCAGCTCGTCGTGGGCAGCCGGGAATGGGCTGGATGAAGTGGAGGGTTTGTTGTGGTTTTAGCTGATTGGCTAGATTGATTCTGCCAGCGGAGTACGAACGAACGCGGGGAAACGATCAGAGCGGGGGGGCGATTATGTGCGCGAGCCCGTGGGTGTGTGCACGAAACCTGTAGATGTATGATATGCATATGAATGAATATATATATATATATATATATATATATATATATATATATATATATATATATATATATATGTGTGTGTGTGTGTGTGTGTGTGTGTGTGTGTGAGTGTGTGTGTGTGTGTGTGTGTGTGTGTGTGTGTGTGTGTATATCAGAGAGAGAGAGAGAGAAAGAGAGAAACAGATTGAGAGAGTAAAAAGAACGAGAAAGAGAGAGAAAAAAATCGAACAAGGAAATGATAATGAAAATCATAGTAATAATAATGATGATTACATTGATTGTGATAATAATAATAATAACAAAATTGAAGAAAATAATAAAAGTAATGATATTGATAATATTAGTGATCATAATAATGATGATGATAATGATGAAAATAGAAAAGATGATAATAATAATAGTAATGATAATGAAAATGATGATGAAAAAAGAAAATAATAAAAGTAATGATGATAATAATAAAGGTAAAAAATATAATGGTAATAATACTGGTAATAATATTGATACTAATAATGGTGATGATGATAATGATAGAAATAAT